TAATGAAATCTTTTTTATTGTAAGTTACATCCCACCAAATAATGGTTACGACATGTATAAGTCACATATTGATAATATTAGCCTTATTATGGACTCTTTACAACCTTATCAAACGCCATGCATTCTAAGTGATTTTAATTTGGGTTCTATTCAAAAGGTAAAAAATCCTGAAGATGGCATTTTAACTCCTTTTTCTCTAAAAAGGATGCGGAAGACTTAAAAAAGAGAATTAGTTTCGTTATTCTGGGAGAATTTTCACCAGTATTTCAAAAGGGCTACAAAAAAGCTACAAAAATGTACGATAATTACAATTTAAAGATAATTTGGTGCAATAAAACGTGTAATCCTTTCATTTTAGGTCCAAAACAGCAAATAAAAAGCTAGGCCGGGCATTGCTCGCGGCTTCCATAAGGGCAACAGAGACGAAGTTTCCCGGTTTTGGCGGAACGCTGAAGTGGAACTAAGCTCCGCGGGTCCACCCACAAAAATACGACTGAGTGGAAAGAGGTTTGTAAAAGTGATTAAATGTGTAGATTTCGCTTTGAGTTATCGTTTTATTTACTTTTTAAGGGTGGACCGACCAACAAAAATATTTACGTCAAAAGGCAGCGCAAAATTTAAAAGCCAGCAAAGGCACGGGTGGTGGCCCAAACACCCAACAGAAACGTTCTCCCAATGAGGAAGCTATATATAAACTCATTGGGATGAAGGAAAGTGTTGAAGGCATACATATCTGCGTATACTTTTGGATTGCCACCTTAAAGTGTGTCTGAGATCATTGCAGAACCTGAGCGAGACGAGTCTGGCTGTATAGAATATTTAAAGGAAGTGGAAATAGAGATACATGAGTCTCAAATAACTCCATTGTTACAGTCGACGAGCCATCGCCTCCACCACCGCCAGTAAATGTAGCTCCAGAAAACCGACCCACTGTAAAAAGGCCGAATCCATCCTCCGACCTTCTTGAAGCTAAACTAAAAATTCAGTAAACTTTATTAGAAGCAGTTACTGGAGCAGTTACGAGTTTAACTGAACATCATGAAGAGCAGAAAAGGCACTTCGAAGAAACAGCTGAAATTCGGCGGCTTAAAAATTAAAAAAATGTGTAGCTGAAATGTGCCGTTACTGCTGTAGTAATTGTTTTTTATTCAGCAAGCCTTAATATTTAGTTCAGCTTCCAGAACGTCGGAGGATGCTTTCAGCTTCTTTCCAGTAGGTCTCCTTTCTTTGATTCCTCGCTTAGCGATACCTTTTTGTAGTACTGGTCGAAAAATTGTAACTTACAAAGATTGCGGCAACTCGAATGGATTTATAGCATCACGCAATTTTCGTCGTTCGACCCTCTGCGCCATCAGCCGTTCTTCCTCTTCCTCTGCCACTAAGCGAGACGCGATGGAATGCATTGTTTTAGTTATTTTTTGTGGGAAATGTCGATGAGCGCGTCCAAAACTGAACGTTGTCCTAGTTTATTAATAATGCGGCTTCCAAAATGCAGTGGCAACTGAACCTAGCAAAGGGTACCCTTATCGTATTTGCCCACTTATTTTGGTTTATTACATGAAAACGCGCGATCAAAATAAAAAACTTTGAACTTACCCGTGTAGTCAAAAGTTTGAACCTTAATTTAAAATAAAGAACTGAAATTTCCGCGCACTAATTTATTAATAGCTACAAATGCAAATACACATTTATGCTTTATGTGTAAAACACGCAAATTAAATGGCGGGAGTTGAGCTGTCAAAATCTGTCAAACAGCTCTTCGAAAGTTCGAATTCCCTGCTCCTAAATTTTCGGGGAAAATGCTGCTCCCTTGCAGTTTAGAATAAGAGGATTTTATTCTCCAGAAAAGTAAAATCCGCGAGAAATGATATCCTCGGGAATATTCAGAATTGATTATATTCTTTCGACTTATTTCAAATTAACGATATTGTAAACGACCTAAGCAGAATATTAGATTGTCTTTATATAAAATGGCATTGCCTTTAATATTTGTAAACATGATGTACCTCTAACCAGTGCATCGGTTCATCATAAAGCAATTGCAATCCAATTTTCATTCTACAAGTACGAAAATGGTCATAGCGAACCCGAATACATTTTTAATTATACTAAAGCAAACTTTGTGTCCAGCGTTGAAAGGAATTTGAATGCTTATCAAAATTTGTATACGACAAATATATTAATTCGCTAGAGACTAATATTAAAGTTAACCCTAAATCATTTTGGTTATTTTTTAACTCAAAACGAAAAGTTAGTGGCATCCCGAAATACATGACATTTAGGGACTCCGTCGCTTCCACAACACAAGAATCGTGTGAACTTTTCGCTCATTTCTTTGGGTCGGTACTTGATAGGTTTAATACTGTCACTACATCGTTTGACACCTCTACTTTGCTGGAATGTATAAATATTGGACAGTTTACTGTCACTGAAGAACAGATTCTCGAATCGCTTTTAGGTTTAGATGTTTCAAAGGAGAAGGATATGATCTTCTGCCGCCTTTGTTTCTAAAGAATTGTGCAGTCTCTCTTTATCTGCCCCTCACCAAAACTTTCAGTAAATCCCTTGAAAATGGTTACTTCCTTGACGAGTAGAAAACCTCATTTATCTCCCCAATTTATAAGGCGGGCCTAAGAAATTTAGTTGAAAACTATCGACCCATTGTAAAACTGTCTTATCATTCCAAAGCTGCTGCATAAAATTGTAAACAACCAGCTCTTTGGGGCACTTAAGAGTTATATTGTTACTCAGCAGCACGGTTTTTACCGGGGCAGATCCACCAATACAAATCTCGCCATATTCCTAAATTTCTTAGTCAATGCGATGGAGGAGGGCGAACAAGTTCACACTTTGTACACGGACTTTGTGAAAGCTTTCGACAGCCTAAACCATAATTTGCTTCTTATAAAACTCGATAAACTTGGGGTTCACTCGAGTCTTACCTAAAAGACAGAAAATTTGTGGTTAAAATTGGCAACAACCTCTTTAAATCTATAACAGTCACATTAGGGGTCCCGCAGGGAAGTCATTTGGGCCCCTTGCTTTTTTCAATATTGAAATTTCGCAGCTGTTTGATGTACGCCGACGATTTGAAACTATATTATATTTTAAATAATTTCAGGCATTTGAATTTAATTTCAAGTATTTTCAAAAAAAGTGGAAGCACTCAAACGTAAAAAATGTTTTCTTTAATTTTTCAACATAAATAAATAAAAAACTAGAGCTTTTTAAATTAATTATTTAATTATCTTTTATTAAAAAAAGACTCTTGAAATCGGTTCATATTTGGGCCCTCAAAATTTTTTTGTCCACATCAACCTTTTTTGTGGACAATTTAAATATGGAAAGTGGCGCCCAATATCAATATGGAAAGTTTAAAACTTTCCTTTTACCAGGAATAAGGCCCTTTTCCTTGGATTTTACAATTAAAGGTAGAAAGGCAAAAAAGGCTACATCAAATGATTATATATGGAATCGGGAAAGCTAAATCGTGGACATTCTTAATCGAATATAGAGTATCTTTAGCAGAAAAAGTCAATTTCCATAAAATCGGTTCCCTGATCATAAGTATCAAACTAGAAAAAGAAATAATTTTCGCCTACATATAGTAAAGTCAGAATTTGGAAAAAGGAGTTTATACTTCGATGGAATTAAAGAATACATTGATCTAACAGGTAGAACAAAAGAATGTACCAGCGATTGTAAGTTTAAAAAGCTATTAGTGTATTATTAAAAGCTATTAGTATTACTACAAAACACTACCAATTAGATAAATATGTATATAAATGTAAAATATTACGCCATTGAGTAGATGTACTATAATAAAATTCAACTGTGGTACTGAAGTTTGAAATAGGTCAGAATGAACGTACCAAATAAACAAAACAAAAACAAGATAGAAAGGTTCGCCATGGAAACTAGTCCTTTCCATCCGTACAAGCAGGGTGACTCAGGATCTCGTCCATTCAGATCGCCCATAATGTATGAAATAGAAAGGTCGGCATGGAAACTAGTCCTTTTCTTCCGATCAAATAGCGCGATTCTGGATGTCGTCCATTCAGATCACCTGCCCGTAGATAAGTCTATAGAAGGCAGCTGGAAACTATCCTTTTCAACCGCCAGTTTTGGCGGCTCTGGAAATTACGCTCTAGACCGCATGTCCTACACGTGATATATTTACTCCTCCATAAGGCCTTCTGAAGTACGTCCTATAAAAGCCCTTCTTGAAGGCCTTTTCTGGGTAGCGAAGAAGGAGCTCTTCAATTTGTTCCAGTCCATACAAAAAAGAAAGAAGAAAGGACTGTAGAGTGGAAGACCTCTTGACTCTCAGCAAGGCCTTTCGGAAGGGCTTTTAACTCCTGAAATTATCTACTGGGATATGACTTTTTTATCTTTCAGCCTCTCTTCTTCGGCAACACGGAAAGGAGAATTATACTTAGTGAGGGTTATAATCCGTAAGTGCGGCCGAAGGCCGCCTACGCAGAAAAGTGTTCTCAGCAAAAAGTGCACAGCCCCTCTTCTTCGGCAACACAGAAAGGAAAATTCTTCTTAGGCCTCCTACGCAGAAAGATATTCTCTGCAAAAGGATTTCAGCAATTATGAATTATGTCTTATTGTCTGGGTTATGTATACACCCTCTGCGCAGAAATTTTGTGGATGGCATAGTCGGATGAGTATTGAAATTTTTATTTATTTATTTAAACGGAAAACTTGGGTATAGACATATGGGCACGGTTACCATAACCGGGCGACAAATTTCGAACAACGACGGTGATAGAGGTTTTTGAAGCAAGTATACGGGATATTTTTGGCTGGGAAACGAAAACAACAGGTGCTACCCATGATACAATAATTTTTAGAAGGTAGTTTCACTTCTTCTTCTTATCCGCCTGTTAGCTATCTGACACAAAACGTGTTTCGTATTTTTTGTTTTACCAATTTATTAAAAAACAAATGCACCTTTTTGGCGTTGAAAAAAAAAAATAAAACTAAGCAAAGCCAAACATATCACTTCAAAAATATTAAAAAATATTCATAATAAAATAAAATTAAATAAGAAATGAGCTGCTGCTTCCGGGGATGTTTCAACACGCGGAATAGCTGTAGGAATACAGCTGTAAAACATTTCAAATTTCCTGTTGTGCCGTATTTACGGGAAAAGTGGATGAAGGATTGCGGATTAAGCGAGCAGCAATTGCCAAGGGAACCGTTTGTGTGTTCCAATAATTTTTTAAGTACAGATTTGATTGCGCGGAACGGTCGTGCACTGCTAAGCCGAGGTGCCATCCCCGGAGCCGAAATGTAAGTCAATAAAAAACAAACAAAATTTGAATGTTGAAAGTATTATGTACATATTTCATAACTTTTGCAGCGATCAACAACCAAGCGGCATGGACGATGACAATGAATATTGTATAGACGACGCCAGCGAATCCCCTTTCGTTGGGATATCAAGAAAAAGAGCCAGGAAAGGATACGTCAGCGTTTCAACGCAAACTGAGTAAGTTTTTTTATGGCGATACCAACGAATTAATACATTACAGGTAACACACTATACGTAACGGCTCTCAGAAGCGGTGAAGTAAATACATCATGGCTTTCAGCGACGATGAAATGATTGGTTATGGCAATCGATGCATTCAGACGGAAATCTAAGGAGACTTGTACCGCGGCTCTCGTAGTCGCATTACATTAGTAGGGGCTGGTAAGGACGGTAGTGTCAGTTTAAGCCGTGAAGGCCGGAGGATGTCGGCAGGGAAGAGGAGTCAAAGCTTACGGAGAAACCTTGTGTTCTAACAGCTTAACCAGGAAGAGGACGTTTAACATACTTTAGGTAAAGTTAAAAACCAATAATTTTTAACAAAAAGAGAGAAGTGTGATAAATAGAATTAATTATTGAATTAATTAAGCTTGTTCGTTATGTTATGTTGTTATGTTACGTATACTGCTTGTATTTATAATAATAAAAAATAAATTTGAAAAATCCGCAATAAATATATATATATATATAATATATATATTGTACTCTTGCATTTTCGTTATATGATTTTTATTGAGGTGATTAGCAGTGGCAAGTATGTATTAAATATATATTAAAAATAAAGTGATCAGTTATAAAATATATAAATGTTTACATGAGTAAAAAAAAATACCCAAAACAATAAGTTGAAATACCCAAGTTCAATATCGTAACAATGGCATCATCGCGTGTTTGTCACAGACACGGTTTATGTCAAAAATTTTCAAGTGAAACTACCTTCTAAAAATTATTGTAACAAGGGTCAAAGGTCAAATTCATAATTTTTTTTAATTCGAATATCTCGAAAACGAAAGCACGGATTTCAAAATTTGTATTGTCATTCAATAGGAAATATGAATGCATCTAATACGATATACAAATATTACATTCATCTTGCACAGTTATAACAACAATTCTTTTCACCTCCCTTTTATTAGCTCGGGATGTAACTATGTTATATTGATGCGCCTAAAAGATGCAGCGATTTCTATTCTCCAGTTACATACCTCATGACAGTATGAATGGAAATTATAACGGCGAGGTTTTAATTTTTTAAACTATAATTTTTAACTAAAAAGAGTTACACAAAATTTTAAACAAACATGATTTTTTAAAAATTGCTATATTAAATATATTTAAAAATTTTAGAATTCAATAGTATATAGAACAAGCTTTCATTTGGAATACAACTTCTTGTCTTCAGTACGTACTGTATAGAGTGTTAAAAAAAACCTTGTCAGACCACAGTATTTTTGGGAAAAACTTCTTTCTGTGTAGGCGGCCTGCGGGCGTGCTTACGGATTATAACTCTTACTACGCAGAATTCTCTTTTCTGTGTTGCCGGAGAAGAGGTGCGGAACTTCCCTCTGCGTAGGCGACCTTCGGCCGAGCTTAAGGAATATAATCCTTACTACGCAGAATTATCCTTTCTGTGTTGCCGGAGAAGAGAGGCAGATCTTTTTCCTGCGTAGGCGGCCTTCGGCCGCGCTTAAGGATCATAACCATTACAACGCAGAATTCTCCTTTCTGTGTTACCGGAGAAGATAAGACCTTATTTGGTGTAAACTTGTCACTTGCTTGTAAATGCATTTAAATTTTTTTATTAACACTGAATACTTAAACATCAAAAGCAGATCATAATGAAATATTTCTACCAAATTAAAGGTAATAACATGTACTTTCTAAATAATGTACATTTCATAAGCATTAATCACGTAATGTTTCAAAAAGGTTATTTTATGAAAAAATTACGAATTCTTTTTCGGTTTTTAGTATTTTTGGCTTGAAAATATGAAAAATAATATAAATTAGGTACACGAACTGAAACATAAATTAACCCAACAAGCATTTCAGTAAATGTTTTTAAAAATAACTTACAGTAAGTTGCGTTAATAAGCGTTTTTAATATTAAGTTTATTAAAAGTTTTTTCAAATAAACCTTTAATAAGTGTTGAGAGCGAATGTTTATAAATCACTTAAACTTAAAAATGAAATGCAAAACCAACGACATGAAGCAGTAAATATAACATTTTGACGTGTTTACGTTCTTTAAAATATATTATTAAAAGAAAAAATAATATAAAACCAATGCGGTAAAAATAGGCGGAAATGTCGCGTTTAAAAAGTGAAAAAGACAGTGTGAAGAAATTATAAATTTGAATAGTGAAGTCCGCGGAAGGACACATTGAACATAAAATGATGAGTTCTCCTTATCCTTGCTTACTTTAACATTCAATTAAAAATGTATAAAATTTTGTTCAGAAAAGTCCATCAATGAGAATGGCGGCGATGAAGCGGAATATATAGCTGCATCGATGTCGTTTTTATAACCGCATGTAATTAAAAGCTGCTGCACGCAACAAGATGTGATAATTAACTTTTTTATGCTTAATGTTTGTATGTTATCGTGAATTTGAATGCTAAAATGTCTCTTCTCTATTTATATTTTCGCGACTGTAGATGAGTCCGCCGAAAATTCGCATTTCTTTTAGTTTCTAGATGGTAAGCAATATATGTATGAGTTTTTAATGAAATATCTTTAAATAAAGGGTTATAAAAACGTTTATAAAAAGCTTTATTTTGAAAATTTTTAGTAAGTTTATATTCATACGCTTATAAACAATTTTTTTTTAACCTTTATTATAAGTTTACACTTTTACACTTATAAAAAGCTTTCTTTTCAGCATTTATTATAAGTTTATATTTCTACGCTTATAACCAAGGTTCGATTATATTACGCTTACTTTCAAGTGTTTTATAAACAAAAAATCAACGTTTTGTAAGCTTAATGTTTATAATACAAAACTTTAAAAAAGCTTTCTTCAAGTTTAATTTGCTCGTTGGGAATTATCTTTATTTCGACACACGACTTTTTTGAAACGGTTGTGTACTAGAGCTGGGCTACTATCGATAGTATCGATAGTAGAAAACTGTCGCCACTATCGATAGTGCTCGAAAACTATCGATATCGGTTTTAGCGGCAAAAAAAAATTTTTAGTTATTGGAATTTTTAGCGACTATAAGCTTACACTGAGTTACAGTAAAATTTAATACGCTATAAAACCGCTTACGCAAAATTTTTATAGAAATTCGAATTAAAAAGCTTGAAATTTTAATGATTTTGTAGTTTTTTACGTTTTGTACAACTTTTACAAAAAATTAGTAGACACTAAACAAACAAAAAATAGTCAAAACTGCTATAAATATTGTGGTGCTATTATTTTGACCAGTACTTTATTCGTTTTCTTATAATATGGTAAAATGTTAATAATTTCCTTATTCCGGATTTTGATATGCGCCTCCGTATTTGATCTCAGTTGAACTTTTATAAATATGAGTTGTCGATTTAAACGAATATCTTTTGTTTTGTTTGTTTTGTAGTATTAGAAATGTATTATTATAGCCAATTTCACTTTTTGCACTTCAAAAGGGACAAACATATGTATATATAATTCAGACACATAAATTAATAAGTTTATTTTATTATTATAAGTTCTTTTTGATGCACTCAAGTTTAAACAAATTTATATAATCTCTTTAATTTTCAAAGTAATTTATAAATTTTATAAATTTATTAATTATTTAATTTTCAAGCAATTTAGCATTTTAATTCAATACCTCTCACAACGATGTACTCTCGATACTATCGATTTTTTCAACTATCGTTTCGAAAACTATCGAGTGCGGTACTATCGATAGTATCCCAGCTCTATTATGTACTCCGTAAGATATTGATATTTTAAAAAATCAAAAAAATAATTATAATTTTCAACACTAAATATCTTTAAAACTAGAAGATCTCGGAACCTAAAAGTGGGTATATTTGAAAAGTGGAGGAGCCCAGCTTTCCAATGGCATAGTCAAAATTTTTCGCCCCGGTTATCGTAATCTCCCCGACACATGCATATCAAACGAAAGGGAAATAAATTTGCTTTCTACCAAAAAGTACGATAACAGTATCCTAATAAGGCTACTTTTAAAGAAGAAGCAGTTTAAAAGGAGTTTTTTCAAATATTTTTTATAAAAACCAATTTTTATCATAAATTTGAAGGCAAGGTACAAGGAATGCGCACTCGAGAAAAGTGAATTAATTTCTTTTAAGGCGGTAGATTAACTTTTACAAACGCTTCACTGGTTTGGAGATATTACGGTTTTTCAAAAAGCAAATTTCGATCTTTGATCTTCGAAATATTTTTGCCTGTGGTCGTAGGAGTACTTGTGTAACAAAACTGGTTAAATGTCATATATATCAACTTTGATAAAAATGTCTTTAAAATAGTATTTCTTAAGCTATATAACCAAGCTATCAATGGGCAGCCATAAAAGTTCCCACTTCTACTTCACCTTTGACGTACGTCAAAGAGAACATAGTCCTTTTAATAATATTTTTTTTCTGTGCTTTAAATACCTGCTTTGGCTTATTTCTTTATTATGATTTTTTTGGACCAATCTTAAAAAAAAACTACTAGACACAAAAGAAGTGTGCACTGTAATTCTTAACAAAATTTTCGTGATTTGCGTGTGATGTTATAGGCGACATACACGGTGCGTCTGACTGAGTGAGTCGGTTTGGATGTGTTTGTGAAAATAAATATCTCTCTAGTACGGTCGGTAGCAATTAGTCCATTTTAATTAGTGATTTCACTCATTAAAGGTAGCTGGTGAATTTACTAGGGTAACGTATTCTAAGAACTCATGTAATGTGATGAACAGCATTACAGGTAATCTGGTAGGTCCGGTGAATTCACTAGTTCCTCACTGGTGCGTTGTTGTTGTTGTTGTTGTAGCGGCTACAACAACCCCGCCCAGATCGGTTGATATCTCAGTCGTTGTCGTCGAGTTCCACTAACGGCAGCCCCAAGAAGCGTGCAGCGGTCCACAGTGACGACGCCATTAGGGTTGTGGGGTTTTCCGGGCATGCGAAGAGATGTTTCGAGTCGTGAGGGGACTCTCCGCNGTCCACAGTGACGACGCCATTAGGGTTGTGGGGTTTTCCGGGCATG